CCATAAAGAGATGACAGATTGTTCTCTAGGGATAGTAAAGCTCCTTTAAAACAACAATACCACAAAATAGCCAAATAAGAAGAAAAAATGATTATCATGAACCTCTGATGTCTTGCAAAAATAAACAGAGTGCCATGCTTCACTGTGGAGAGAAAGTGGTAGTTTGGAGCACAGACAGGCATAACAACAGATCCCCTTCTTGTGTAAAATAGAAAGAAATCATAAGCACATTGTCATGAGAGATTGAGTATGACAGAAAGCCAATGGTGTGTGAATGACAAGTGATTTCAGATTTAATTACAGGCTTATGGTCCCCTTTAGTTTTCTGAAATACAATTCCTCAAATGTGTACAGTATTTGAATAAAGGGCGAATGGACAAAATGTGCTTTAACTTTTGACAACCAAATGCATGTGTCCACTTGGCCGGTTTGCTTCCAAAGAGTAAGAGCCTGTTGCTAGATTTCCTGTGTCTGCCTGTAGGCTTTGTTGACGGTGGTAGAGTGTGAGGAAGAGAGGGGTGGGACTAACTGACCTGGTTTAAGTGTAAAGAATGTCCTCTGAATTAAACCAACTTTCCACCTAGAGGGAACTCAGCTTACTATCCAGCTGGTCGGAGGACAAAACTAGGAGACTGCATGGCCATATATGGTACACAGACAAAATAAACCTGGCAAGAGAAGAGAAACAAAACCCAGAAACATGGTGCATATTGCCATCTAGAGGACTTAGAAAGAAACCAAAAACTGAAGTAGAGCAAAAGAGATCCAAATCCTGTTTTTAGTGTATTGAAATATTTTAAAATATACTTTTATGAAAATGTGATCAGTGTAATCGGACCAAATCCTGGTCTGGTCCTGAGTAGAGCAGGAGAGGCGCATGCCACTGCCTGGTGAGCAGTGCTCGACTTGGGCAGGAGCTAACCGGAGCTGAGTACCGCCACTTAAGATGTTCTCCTGCTTCAGCTCCTGTTCCCCTTATAGAATAATTAGCTCAAAAGTATTATTGTACCAATATAAACAGTACCAGCACCCAAAATGAGTACCGCTACCTATTTCAGTCTTAATCAAGCACTGCTGGTGGCTAAATTAGGTCACACTGTCAAAAAAAGGGAAAGGGTTGAGCACATAATTGTTTTTACATAATGATTCTCAGGCCATGCGTACAGCTGTTTCTGGGAGGGTGGGACTCAACAGCAGCCCTAAATTAAAACCCTATGTAGTCTAGTGACCTAGTGCAGGGTTTCCCAAACTCAGTCCTGGGGCCCCCCCCTGGATGCACATTTTGGTGTTTACCTTAGCACAACACAGCTGATTTAAATAATCAAATCTTGATGAGTTGGTTATTTGAATCAGCTGTGCAGTGCCATGGCAAAAAACTAAACGGGGGCCACAGGACCGAGTTTGGGAAACCTTGACATAGTAGGCATTATAACACACAAGCGTTCCAGTATATAAAACTGGAAATGGACTTTCACACACCCAGCCGCTACTTGGGTCAAATTAACAAGATAAAATCTCCTGGAATCCATTTTTAGGCCCCATTTTAAAAAACTGATTGCGTTATAATCAGGGATTTAAATCAAATAAAAAATCAAATCAAATTGTATTGGCCACATGCACCGAATACAACAGGTGCATACATTACAGTGAAATGCTTACTTACAGCCCTTAACCAACAGTGCATTTATTTTTAATAAAAATGTAGAATAAAACAAAAAAGTGTTGAGAAAAAAAAGAGCAGAAGTAAAATAAAAGAACAGTAGGGAGGCTATATATACAGGGGGGTACCGGTGCAGAGTCAATGTGCGGGGGCACGGGCTAGTTGAGGTAGTTGAAGTAATATGTACATGTGGGTAGAGTTAAAGTGACTATGTGTAACAGTGTTGCTTCCGTCCCTCTCCTCGCCCCTACCTGGGCTTGAACCAGGGACCCTCTGCACACATTGACAACAGTCACCCTCGAAGCACCGTTACCCGTCGCTCCACAAAAGCCGCGGCCCTTGCAGAGCAAGGGAAACAACTACTTCAAGGTCTCAGAGCGAGTGACGTCACCGATTGAAATGCTACTAGCGCGCACCGCTAACTAGCTAGCCATTTCACACCAGTTACATATGCATAAATAATTAACAGAGTAGCAGCAGCGTAAAAAGATGGGGTGGGGGGGGGGGGGGGCAGTGCAAATTATCCGGGTAGCCATGATTAGCTGTTCATGAGTCTTATGGCTTGGGGGTAGAAGCTGTTGAGAAGTATTTTGGACCTAGACTTGGCACTCCGGTACCGCTTGCCGTGCGGTAGCAGAGAGAACAGTCTATGACTAGGGTGGCTGGAGTCTTTGACAATTTTGAGGGCCTTCCTCTGACACCGCCTGGTATAGAGGTCCTGGATGGCAGGAAGCTTGGCCCCAGTGATGTACTGGGCCGTACGCACTACCCTCTGTAGTGCCTTGCGGTCGGAGGCCAAGCAGTTGCCATACCAGGCGGTGATGCAACCAGTCAGGATGCTCTCAATGGTGCAGCTGTATAATTTTTTGAGGATCTGAGGACCCATGCCAAATATCTTCAGTCTCCTGAGGGGGAACAAGCCCACACAAGCATTAATGGACAGCAGGCAGTTTATTACAGTTGGCAAACAGAATGTTGGGATGTGGAAAATAAGCATTTTAACTTCATCCTTTTAATAATAATAATATGCCATTTAGCAGACGCTTTTATCCAAAGCGACTTACAGTCATGTGTGCATATATTTTAAGTATGGGTGGTCCCGGGGATCGAACCAACTACCCTGGCGTTACAAGACAGTGATTTGGCAGTGGCACCATGCTGCCAATGTAGTTTGATTGGATTTCTATCTAATGGGATGAATTGGTCAATAGAATATAAAAAAAATATGGATTATCAATGTTTTGATACATTTGGGTGTGAGCCCTTGGTAGAGAACTACCTAATCAGTCGAAGGTTTTTCCACAACTCGACAATCTTGGGTTTTAGGCTGTATGACATGCAGGTCCTGGTTCTCGCGTAAGACGTGTTCGATTAATTATATATTACACCCCCTTGTGGCCAAACAACACTATGTGAACTAAGTATGAAAATGTATGCACTCACTAACTGTAAATCGCTCTGGATAACAGCGTCTGCTAAATGACTAAAATGTAAATGAACAAATCTTGTTATGTTGAGCTCTTCAGGTATACTATACATCGAAATAGAATGTAGTAAGTACCCTATTATGTATCAACATCCAAGTGTACAATGCATGGATTTTTAGCTGCTATAATATTTACTGACGTGTTTAGTGTCCAATACAGTGTGGTCAGGTTTCACCATAAACCAATACCCACCTTCCAGTAGTCCGAAAATTTTACAATAAAACACGTATTTTTGTCCCCCCCTTTTTTTTTTACGGTCTGTGTCGCATACCTGTTTTGTTCATCTGGTCAGTGCAGTACATCTCAGATCCTTCCAGCAGTGTGTCACACCAGTCAAGCCCACTGGCCATGTATGAGTCTTTAAAGCTTGGGCAGTCTAGGTGTGCCACAGCCAGCCAAGCCTGCTAGCCATGGGTCGCGATCCGGAGTAACATGACGAGTACAACTAGCAGATCACTGTTTTATTTGAGAATGTCATCAGCGGTTGCAAAAAATATGTTTTATTCCTTCGCGAAAGAGCAACGTACAGTATATACATAAATGTCGCTAGACAGCACCAACTGGAAAACCACAAATGTACACAAAATTGTAGGAGCGGACACTGCACATCCCTCTAAACTGTAAGCGCCACCTGCCAGGACCCCAACATTTGGACTCATGAGAACAATAGTAAGCAAGTAACCCCATACATAAACCTCATACAGTACATTGCTCCAGGCAGGGCTTTCAAATAAACCATGCATAATTTGTATTTATTTAAACGAATGAAGAGGCTAATTATGGACATACAGAAGCCAAGTTGGAATGGTATTTAGTCGTGTTTATGAAACGGTAACTTTCAAACGCAATGAACCAAACTAAAAGCAAAAGGTCAACTTTTATTTAAAAAAAAAAAAAGTGGAATAAACATCAACTTCCACGAAATAAATGTTAATGGCAAAAGTCAATCAAACAATCATGGAAAATAAGTTCACGTTGAAAGGCAGTTTCAATAAAATAAAACATTACTTGAACAGAAAAGCATTGGACTGGGTAAAGCTTGCATAACTCAGGGGGAAAAAAGCCATGTATCAAAATTAGTTAGATTATCTTCTGATCAACTGAATCATTTAAATCTTTCCTTTAGTTTGTTTCACAACTCAGATTTGATGGTTTAATGTCAGAGGGCATGTATAATTAGAGGATTGGGGAAAACAAATATTTGTTAGTCCTTTCTCTTTGGTCCCCAACTACACAATCTTTTTTGTATTCAAATGCATTGCCAGCACATGACCACTTCGCATCTAGAAGGGCATGCTTTATCTAATACTCTGATGTGTAGATTTAGAACAAGACTTGTGCATGTTCAAAATGACATGTGTATCTTAGAATAGGAGTGTAGAAAGACTTGAGGTTCTATTGGAAATCAAGGCCTAGCTTTGAGCACTGTACTTCACTGACCATGATAAAATGGCTGTTAAAAATCGAGAAATGGCAAGCATGTAGGAATCAGAGCGTTAAATATGGCAGGAGTTATCGTCACCCTCAACCATGTATGTGGCACTTTAACAGACCAACATAACCCACAGATCATTAAAACATTCAAGAATTGGTCAACAACCTTCCTGTACACTTCAGAACCCCTCCCCAGCAAAAAAAGACAAAAGGTAATTTTTTGTCACAGCAAGAAGTCTACTTTTCTACTGGCTAAGACAAATATCTAAGTGACAGTTAGCATAGAAATTAAATTACAAGAACCAAGGAGATAGATTATCTCCTTTCAATAACACATGTGTAGCCTTTACAATCTCATTTTACCCCCCCTCCCCTCTCATTGTAAGAATAGAAAACAAGTACCCTTAACCCTCTTCAGTTTACTTGTGACCCCCCTTGCTGGTTTTGAAGGAAACCTGCAGGATCTTGTCTCCAATGCGGTAACCGTTGAGGCTGGCGATGGCCATGGCGGCCTCCTCGTAGTTGGTCATGGTGACGAAGCCGAAGCCTTTGCACTTGTTGGTGTTGAAGTCTCGGATGACCTTGACGTTGGTGACGGCTCCGAACGGCCCGAACATCTGCCACAGGATGCCCTCGTCAGCATCCTGGCCCAGGTTGTAGATGAAGATACACCAGCCAGCCGTGGAGTTCCCCTGAGCGCTAACCGTAGACATGCCGCTCATGTGGTCCACACTCATCGGAGAGAACCTGCCAGTGGCACAGAACCAGGGTTCTTACTACTCCATAGATGCCCATTTAAAATAACCCAAAAACATAAGGTGCAGGCCTGCTGACCAATTCAGGGATCTAGGTCTCTGGGATTCTAGTCTTGACTCCCCGGATTCACAAAAATATCCTTCTTTAACAACCGGGCACTAGTGATGAGCGATTAGTGCTTTTAGCTTAATGTAAAACCCAAAATAGTGAACATTGAATTACCAAAGCATTTAAAATATTCCATTGTCTGTCAGGTCCACATTGTGTAGGCTAGACTTAAATAGAAAAATAGGAAATTATTATGAAATACAATATTTCAGTTGTGTCTTTCACGCTCACGCAGTACCAAACAACATTATCTCTGTACTCCCCATAAATCCTATTTAGTAAGGCTAGCTGCAGAGCTGCCTGACAAAATCATTTTGCTAACTCTTCAAAGATATGGCATATTTCACGAACGTCGTTGTGTACATTCCTTTCTAATGCAGTCTATGCTCTCTGTGTGCATCTAATCTAATGTAGCAGGCATAAAAGTGTATCCATCTCTGCCTGTGCTGAAAATACAGGTGCAATGGATTATGGTCAATGTAGTTAATTACCACGTTTCTGCACTGAACTAGGTTGAATATTTGCTTAATGAAAACTACAACTCCCTTCAGCCCAGCGTCCCAGTTATTGATTTCTCGTGTGAATTATTTGAGTCCTCTAGAGAAACAGCAAGTTGGGCTCACAAAAACATGAAATTCAAGTAATTAAACTGACACAAGTCCGTTTTTTAATAACCAAAATAAGAAACTTTTAAGCGCTCTGCAACGACATGGATTGTGTGTGTAGAGCAGTCAACCATACCTGAATCTCTGGGCCTGGTGGTGTACTGGACCTCCAAAGCGCCGGCCCTGGTTGTGGTAGAGCTGGTTGATGAGCTGGGAGTTCTTGGCCTGGTTGGGGCTGGCAGCGAACTTCACTGTGATGGGCTCCGATGCACCAGGGGGTTTCTGGCCGTTCAGGTCTTTGATGGCGTCCTCCGCCTCGGCCCGTTTGTCAAAGCGGATAAAGGCCACACCCCTGGACAGGCCTGAGAAGCAAGGGGATGAAATGGAGAAGTCATTAATGGAATAGGCTGAAGATGCTCTTACACAGATCTGAAGTCTATTGAAAATGTTCACCCAAGGGCCTCCCAAGTGGCGCAGCAGTGCTAGAGGCGTCACTACAGACCCGGGTTCGATCCCGGGATGTATCACAATAGGCCGTGATCGGGAGTCCCATAGGGCGGCGCACAATTGGCCCAGCGGCGTCCGGGTTAGGCGACGGTTCGGCCGGTGGGGGGCTTTACTTGGCTCATTGCACTCTAGCGACTCCTTGTGGCGGGACGGGCACCTGCAGGCTGACCTCAATCGTCAGGTGAACAAGTGTTTCCTCCGACACATTGGTGCGGCTGGCTTCCGGGTTAAGTGGGCGGGTGTTAAGAAGCGCAGTTTGGCAGGTCATGTTTCGGAGGACGCATGACTCGACCTTCGCCTCCCGAGCCCGTTGGGGAGTTGCAGCGATGAGACAAGATCGAAATTGGGGATAAAAGGGGGGTAAAATACAATAAATACAAGTGTTTAAAAAATGCCCAAATAGTTTGGATTTGGAGATGTTAAAGTCTCAGAGTGGTATCCTTGGTGCTCATTTAATTGATTCTGCATAAATATTTCTCATTCAGGCTGTGCCTGCCTACCTACCTGAGGCCTGATCGACCAATACACGAGAGTTGATGATGCGGCCATAGCGTGTGAACATATCCTCCACGTCTTTCTGTGTCATGGTCTTGGGCAGCCCACTAATGTAAAGATTGGCATCCTTAATACCGTCAGAGCTTGGCCTGGCAAAGGACACCTGATGAGGAGACGGCAGGTCAGTTTCCATTTTGAGTGCAATTTATAGGAAAAACAATTATTCAAAAATAAAATAATACTTTGGAATTAAATTGACAACACACTTGAAAAATAAAATCAGATTCAAAATTCCCAAATGTATCATATTGAAATTTAAAAAAATCTCTAAAGCAAAATAAATGTACAAAAAAAGATTCAAATCCTGATCATTCAGACACATTGCTGAGCAGTTACCTAAGTAATAAAATAAACAAACCTAATTTTAGGTACGGTCTGTTTAAAAAGTAAAAAAAGCTATAAAAGTAAAATAAATGTAATTGCGAAATTCTGCAGGGCTTTGATTCGGCACAACGTCACACTCAAGCAATAACCAGTGGTGTTAAATAAAAAATAAAAAACGTAGTCTGAACAAGATGAATATACGCTTCAGTATAAATATGTGCCGAAAATACAACCATGTCAGGTTACCCGCACAGGCCAATTGCTTCAATCAATCTTGCCAAAAACTATAAATTATAGAACAAAAAGGTTAATTACATGATTGTTTAAGTAAACATGTTACCCAAATACCTTCATATCCTTTCGCAAATAGACACTTTGCAGGAGGGCTCGCCCTCAACTGCCCAGGGACTACTTGAGGAACATATCACATCTATCAGTTGAAACATGAAAACAAAAAACACCTTATTGCACGTTACCTTGATAGTTTTAGACTGTAGTCTCAGCCCATTGAGGGTATTGATAGCCCTTTCTGCATCACTAGCGTTAACATAGTTAACAAATCCGTACCCTAAACTGTGGCCTAGAGAAAAAAAAGGAAAAACAACAAAATAAAATAACAAAAGTGTGTCCATTTCTACAGATTGGATACCAGTCTTCCACGGGAGATATTGGTACAATGCATGCATTTTGGCAAAAACATTTGCAAAGGAAAACATTTCCTGCTAAATATGGTTCAAGAAAAAAAACTGGCCCACATTGAAAAATTGTAAATGAAAAATGTTTAAAAAGAGAAGGGAGTAACAGCCTCTTACAATAACAATGGATATTAAAACATTGGCATTCTAGCAAACAAAAATAACTAACACTACATTGGGAGAAAAAAAATGTGCTGCTCTTTCCAATAAATATTTAAAATGTGAAACTAAAAGACAAGAGAACTAAATAAAATTCCATTATATATGTCCACAAAGAAATGCATTTTAAGATTGGGCCTACATATGGGGTTATCACCAATGCCAATGAAATAAGAAAACATCTCCAAAGACCACCACTAAAAAAAAAGACACTAAAGTAAAGTGTCAAGAACAGATTTAACAAGGTGTATAGCACAGAAAAACAGGAGTTGAACAAAATCCCAAATAAAAAAGTAAATCTCTGATCCCAACACTAATCAGAGTCTGCAACACACAAAAATACTCTTAGCATCTAAATACATTTTTATACGCATTTTTTGGGGCACACAGGAGTTGCATACAAAGTAAAAGACAATTGCGGTAACCAGCAAATACTGCATTGAATTTACAGATTAGTAATCACACAGAAAATATTGGTAAAGCAAAAAAAATATTTGATGTCACAAACAGACTTTTGTAGTGGAAAACAAAAGAGCACATGTGCAGACAAACACTGAGAAGGCCGGGGCCACGTTTCTCCTCGTGGACAGTGATTAAAGTAAGCGAACCGAGCTCAAAAGAAAAGGGGTTTGGACTCACTCTGGTTTTTGTGATAGGGATTACCTGCCACTTTATCGCGGATGAGTTTGGCAGACTCCACCTCGCCAATGCTGCTGAAGAGACTCCGCAACTCGTCCTGACTCATGTTTTGGGGCAGGTAATTGACGATAAGGTTGGTTTTGGCATCTTTGGGCTCATCTTCCATGTGTTCGTCGTAACCGTTATCATAAGCTTCTTGCTATAATTTCAAGAAAATGGGATGGGGGGTAAGTAAACCGTTCTGAATCCATCTAGAGCTTTATGAAAGATGACAGTTAACTGGTTTTGTTCTAAGATAATGCTGCCCGTGTCCCAAAAGAACAGACATGCAAAACAGAATGCTTTCTCAAAATACAGCCAAAGTTAATCTGTGGATTTACCTTCATGTTAATTGAACTCTTACTGCCATGCTGTTGCGATTCCCTATTGTCACCCTGACAACTCTGCACCTCACACACCTGCAAGAGTAACACTGGTTATTTCACAAGCCTTTGATGAAGACAACTGAGCGTGTGACACTATTCAACTCATTTCCCCCCAGTTCTTGTCCATTTCACAATAATACAATTGAGGCCAAACCATCTGTGCAACAGCACAATATATAGCAAACTACAAAATGACTTCAAAACACTTGATAGAGCCACTCACTTTGAGGTATCTGATGTGTCCCCTTCTGACTGCCATGTTGATGCTTCACAGATGCAGATTCTGAAAATAAGGGGGGGGGGGGGGGGGGGGGGTACCTTAGTTACCTGAACCCAAAAGCATGTTCATGATTTGGTTGCCTTTGTTGTGCCCTACTGAACTTGACGCAAAGGGGCTTGATGATTACGTATAACTGAATTTATTGATTCATTTGGAATGTGTTCGATCAAAGACGAGTCCTCTTTGGCTCGATGATAATCAAATTCAATTGGGCCCTTGGGTTCTCGAGAGCCAGCTCGATATATGGTCAAATTGCAAAAGAGGACCCAAACGATATGAACTACTGTAGCTAGTTAACTAACGTTTGGTAGCTAAGTGCAGCAATGTAACGTCGTTAACTATCTAGCTGGCTATTATAAGCTAACGTTAGCTTGCTAGCTAACAAGCACTGGCAACACTCCGTGGGCATGACAACTTTGGACAACGCGAGGACTAAATGATATCGTTAGCCAGATGCTACGTTGCTAACTTGCTAGCCATCTTTGGCAATACCAAAGATACTTACACAGTTAACTAGTTAACACTTATATAACTAGATAACATTTATAAACCATTCCTTGTATTGGTAAACGTATATCATAAAGAATACGAGGGGTAGGTAGTAACACAGAGCTTCTAAACAGTATTTGGTAGTAGCTCGCTAGCTAGCAAATACAAAGTAGCGTTCGCTAGCTAGTTACTACTAGGCCGGTTTTCTGGACCGCATGGCACATAGATAGCTACTAGCTAACTACACCTGCGCACGAATGGAAAGAAAGGACACTAAGCACAATGGGGAACGTAACTTACCTGCTTTACCGATACTCCTGTGATTAATAATAGGCCAAAACGGACCTGTACACGGACACAAAATCAGAACAAATCGGAGGTATCCTGGCTAGCCAGCAATGTTTCCCTTCGTCCAACAAATGCAAACACTGGTGCTGCTACTAGCATGCGCGGACAGTCGTGTAAGAATAAGGAGCTAACGTCACAGCTTCTCAACACACTAAACTCCACCCCCACTCACCAAAGGCGGCAAAGTTTTTTGTTGCAGTTGATTGGGTTTGATGGTCGTCCTTCAAGCTCATGTTATCAACTCCACCAAACTGTCTGCAAAATAGCCTAATGTGTCCCCTTTATTAATTGAAATACCCCTAAAGAAAATAGAGTTCATGAGTTGTATAGGCATATCAATTGGAAATGGAATTGACCCCAACCCTATGGTTTCCACCAGAGTATGTGAGCAGAGTTGTGTGGTTGGAAACCCCACTCATCGCTCACAGAGCGGTCTTTGTGCACTATGAGGCGTTATACGTGTCTATACCTCGATTGTAAAATGTAATATTCAACTAACAACTGATAAGGCAATGCCGCAATAGAGTGATTATTGGAAGAATCGAACTGCTCATGCAACGAAAAGCGGAGGTGCCGACTGCTAGGGGAAACTTCAGCCAAACTTCAGTGCAAACTTCTTTGGGAGACTGTTACACGTATCTATACTTAGATTGTAACATGTACTATTCAACTAACAACTGTTAAGGCAAATATCTTTGAGTAGTAAACAGGGAAACAACGAGTCCCAGACAGTTCGCAATAGAACATACCAGAGGGGGGGCATCGTTTAATAGGCGACCTAAATTATTGGGATGATTGGTTGGAATACATGGAACGCCTTTTAACACGAATGTCCGCGGTGGGTCTGTGTAAATTATACGATTATATTGGAGACAGGTTTATAGCAGTGAATGTCATCTTATAATTTACTCTTATAATATTTCTAAGTAGAAGCCATATCAGCCAGGGAAACTAATTGTTCTCACTTTATGATATAACATTCAGATTTGTCTGCCTGACTGTGGGGCTCTTTACATGAATTATTAGGATTTTCCTGTGATCACAACAAAACTACGTATTTTGCTGAAATAGAGATATAATTATATTGTGTTTTCTTTGAAATATGGGCCTGGCTGAGAATTAGAACATTCCGTTTTCTGCCTGAGTGTGGCGCTGTTTACCGCCATTTTCTGGATTATCCAACATGCCTAGCTCTGCCCACTGGGGCGTGGTTTATGGAGCGCTCTTTGAAATAATGAAATAAACGCTCATATCATCGTATTCCACCAGATCGAGTTATTTAATCACAACGGTTCTCGATTCTTCCATTAATCACTCTATTGCAGCATTGCCTTAACAGTTGTTAGTTACATTTTACAAACGAGGTATAGACATGTATAACGCCTCAGTGCACAGCTCCTGCACTCAACCTTTCCCATCTCAGCTAAAAATTGCTCAGTGCTCACAGAATAAAACTGCAGCTCCAAATTCGCTCCATTCATTTTTTGTTTAAAAATATAATTTAACAAACACCCCATCTACTTTTGTGACTACCATTTGGTTTTAAAGTAGGCTATTGTAAGAAGCTTCAACATTTCAACAACATGTTGTAGGCTATTAAACAAGCTCAGTTGGTAGAGTGGCTCTGATGAGCTCACATTTTACAGTTGATATTTTACAGTTGATAGACAACTTTAGCACGGTTACAAACTTAGACTCCTCTTTTTAAACAATAGCCTAAATAGAAACAAACACGTCTCAGGTGCTGCTGCATGGGTTCATTCGTTGTCTTGCCATCAATACACAGGCTGTGACCTATTTCTTTGCTGACTCATAACAACATCTCTGCATATTAGTGGTGGGGTAACCTAAGTAAATGTAGAAATGGGCGGGGTTTATGACTTTGTGGCTATAGAAGCTAGTGATGACACTACCCTGCCCACACTGCATGCTTTCTGTGTATTGAATACCACAGTATGAGTCATAATACAGATAAAACCTAGCGGTCAAACACAGAAATGCTTCCAATCGTTTTTCCACCACAAATTTTCCCATACAGGATTTTAGAAACACTTCAGATAAGGGCTGTGTTTTGTGTAGGCTTACCCTGGCGTGACGTTTTGATAAATGTACATCTCTCTTGGACAAGGGGATTTATCAATATATTTGCCTGTATTTACCCCCCCCCTAAATAAAAAAAATTATACAAATGAAACGCTAATTAGCTGCTAATGTGGCTATCAAACAGAACTACAAATGCCTGTCTCAAGCTTCACATCACTCACCAGGGCCATGATGATCTGGACGACACTGCCAAATGGAGGCAAAGGTAAGAATTGGATGTAGTCCGCCATAAAACCCACAGAAGACGAAAGGTATGAATCTCTGGATTAACTATCTAATTTTAGCTTAATTTAGTAATGAAAAAATTGCCTGAATTTGTTTAAATTGACAATTCTGTGAACTGTCTTAGGCAAGTTTTACATTTACACAATACCTGTTATCTAGCTAGCTCATGGTTAGCTAGCTAGTTAGCAACATTAGCCTGGCTAGATGGCTACATGGCTACATTGGTCTAGCCATTTAAATGCATGAGAAAATCATAAAACCAAGTTTAGCTTTCTTTGGCTTTTATAAACCAACAGTCTAGCTTGCTAGGTAACTAGATAGCTAACTTAGATGGTGAAGCTAGGCATTCTTGATAATGTTTGTGTCTGTGGGTGAGGGGTGGGTAGCCTACTTCAAGTAGCCTACTACTTGACTTGTAGCTACCCTAGCTTGCTGTATTATTTTGGTCTGGTTTCAGAGATGGACTGATTAGCATCTCTTGAGTCAACAGTGTGCTTACTTTACTGTGGGAAGACATTGATCTGTTTGCTGATACCCTCTGGACAGCAGATCATTAGTATAACTACTAGGCAAGGTTATGGAACCTTATTTAGTCCTACTCGCTATGGTAGGTTTTAAACTAAATGGTATTCACACACGTTTCTTTTTTTTAGTTCGAATTACTGTAATGTTATTGATGCCAAATTTCAAACCTTATTTGTACCTTCTCTATTCCAGAACCAATGGCCAACCATCCCTCTAGCTACCCCCTATTCTACACTATGCCTTTTATGCCCCATGGTCCCTCAACTTCGGACACTTTGTAACTCGCCAAATTATCTCTATAAACCCACCCTACCTTCACCCATTTTTCCTATGCTGCTTCCTTTACTTGTTCTTCTCCTGATTTGATAACATCTAGACTCAGTGACACGTTTAAAAGTGTTGTGGTGTACTGTTTTTGCCACCTTTTTTTCACCTGTGTAATGCTGTCCTGCTTATTCTGGGGTTCAGACTGAATGCAGTGTTAAATGTGCTGCTCACAATTGACAGCAGCAACATTGACAATAAGGGTGTTGATATAGCTGTGTTTAGGCATGGCTTTTAAATGTGTTTCTCATTCTGCTGGAGTTGACCTAGTATTTTATATTAAACTTACAGTGAGGGAAAAAAGTATTTGATCCCCTGCTGATTTTGTATGTTTGCCCACTGACAAAGACATGATCAGTCTATAATTTTAATGGTAGGTTTATTTGAACAGTGAGAGACAGAATAACAACAGAAAAATCCAGAAAAACGCATGTCAAAAATGTTATGAATTGATTTGCATTTTAATGAGGGAAATAAGTATTTGACCCCTCTGCAAAACATGACTAAGTACTTGGTGGCAAAATCCTTGTTGGCAATCACAGAGGTCAGACGTTTCTTGTAGTTGGCCACCAGGTTTGCACACATCTCAGGAGGGATTTTGTTCCACTCCTCTTTGCAGATCTTCTCCAAGTCATTAAGCTTTCGAGGCTGACGTTTGGCAACTCGAACCGTCAGCTCCCTCCAGAGATTTTCTATGGGATTAAGGTCTGGAGACTGGCTAGGCCACTCCAGGACCTTAATGTGCTTCTTCTTGAGCCACTCCTTTGTTGCCTTGGCCATGTGTTTTGGATCATTGTCATGCTGGAATACCCATCCACGACCCATTTTCAATGCCCTGGCTGAGGGAAGGAGGTTCTCACCCAAGATTTGACGGTACATGGCCCCGTCCATCGTCCCTTTGATGCAGTGAAGTTGTCCTGTCCCCTTAGCAGAAAAACACCCCCAAAGCATAATGTTTGACGGTG